GCAAGGTGTGGCTCGTCGGCGACAAGCTGACGGGCGAGGAGCAGAGGAGAGCCCAGGCCGGCGTCCACTTCGTGCCATACTCGCAGTTCCCTCCCGACGGCGTCCGCGGCGACTGCGTCTACCACAGCACCCCGGCGCTGGTGGTTCCGGACGCCTTCGAGAACCTCCATGCCTGCGAGGTACGTGAGCTAACCACAAGGGTCTCTTCTGTATTAGTTGTCTGATGTGTTGGTATATATGCTGATCAGCTGATGTGTTGGTGGTCGCATGGGTATGCAGAACTGGCTGCCGCGGAGGGTGATGAGCGCGTGGCGCGCGGCGGGCATCGTGCACGCGCTCCAGGGCTGGGACGACCACGAGTGCGGCGCCAGGGTCACCGGCGTCGACAAAGCATGGCGCGCCGCGCTCGCACACGGCTTCCGCCCCTACGACCGCCATGACGCCAAGTGACAAAAGATTGGACAGACGGACTACGAATCGTGTGCATGGCTTGGCTTGTCTGTGACGATGATCTAGTGGTGGCATGATGCGTGCGTGGGCTTGTTCTGTGTTGCTTTCTTCTTTTGGAATGCGTAACATTCCTATACCTATAGTGTGCCCATGCCGCCCGGACGTTGCTACGGGATAATCATGTATTACTGAAAATAAATATTTATCCTACCACACGACAAAACAACTCATACAGAAAAAGGGTTCATCAATGCTGCGAGCAGCCCATACACTGGCCATACGTGGCAACGCCACGAGCATTTCTAGTGGTTTCGATTTGAGACATGTATGGGTAACCAGGGCAACTTTATATGGTCAAACGTCTAGCAAGCGCAATTGGTAATTCACTTTAGCTAAGCGCCTCCTTGGAAGCCAATGATCAAGTCTACCATCAACATTGCTTTTGACCCATGCTTCTAACCGATTTATCAAATTTGAGAGAAATCAATACATTTGAAAGAAAAAATGGGATCTACAACTTTTGTTTCAGAGTAATGGTGAGATTCCGCACCATAAATTCATTGAAAAAATCAGCCTAATTCACGAACAATCCGAAAATCAATGCAAGGGTTACCATGGTTTGTACACGTAAACATTGCATCTAGTTGTTTCTTAGAAATTTCTCACAACAGATGAACTAAATTTGCAAAGAATTAAAAGTTCCCACCTAACCATTTTTCCTTCCTTTCTATTTTCTTTCCCCAACTCGCCTTCTGCTATTTCCCTTGTTTGTCTTCCTGACCGTAGCCTCCAGCTATACAACACGAGGTAGAAGCACCAAGATACAAACAACCTATACGTATGGAAAAACAATAAGTAGAAGCAGCAACCTAAGTGCTCCAGACAACAAGGACCCAAGCTGTGGGTGCTCTTGCCCACCAAGTTCTCTACAAGGGTGAGCTCAAGTAGGAGGCGACACATGAATAGGGATGTCAGATATTGAACCCTAATATATTGTCATAGGAAAAGGTTCATATCAAAATAAAATAAGCAGGAGTGGACATAGAACAGAGTCACGAGAAAGAAAAAAAAATTGGTTTATTATTTCGTTTCGTGGGTCTCACACATAACTCATGCGCTCCCCTAGGAGAAGTCAAACAAGGGAGTGGATGTCAGGAATGGTGCTTGTAAGGTACCGATAGAAGGCCCCAAAAACACAAGTATATCTGCAAGAAAACACAGAACACCAATATCAACTAAAAGAAGATAAGGGTTTGCTGAATTGTTCTAGTTGGGAAAACACTACCAAAAAAAAGGAAGGAACAAATTTCCCTACAAAAATAGAGGGGAGGGGAGCCGAGTGTACCTCTAGTGATTCTTGATGAAGTCGACGGCAATGTACTTGTCTGGTTGGATCTTGGATCTGCAACATCTTGAGCGTGAAGTACAGAACCAGGACAAGAGGCACACCGGCTGCACATCTGAACGATGTGAACCAAACCGTCGCATTCTGCCCAAGAACATCCCGTATACTATCGCACAACACCACCGTCATGCACGAATTTGTGCCTCCCTATACCACCAAGAGCAGTGTCCAACTCAACTACCTGACTATGTTATCAATCAGTGGAGTTGTTGATAGATGGTCACACATAACAGGTTGAAGGTTGAGTTCCCAGCAGGATGTGTAGACAGGTTTGCTGCCACCTGCTCTCTTCCAATCTGAAATTTGTTTGAAACCGGCAATAAACAAACCATTTTACTTTTGTGATAAGCACCAGACAGGCAAAAAGAGCAGGCAATGCATGCATGGAACATGTATGATCATTACTGGTGCGCAATTGAGCAGCAAATTAAACTAATTTACAGCAATGAGAACAAAATAATCCTAGATAGTCATTTGGGGTGCCCACGTCAGTATCAGAATATCATTGTTAGTATCAAACAGGATCAAAAAATAAACTAAAGGCACTGCCGATATTACTTGAAGATGTGGAGCAGCTGCTGCAACTGCAACTCGGAGTCACTAGGGAAAAGTGGTTGGTTAGTGACCAACTCATCTGCAATTTACACCAGGTTAGAATATCTATATATGTCGGTGTGAGTTATGAAGCAGTTCACACATTGAAAAGTGATGTTGAAGTTCATAGAAATCTTACCGAAAATTGAGCCAATAGACCATATGTCAACCAACCAGCATGGAGTAGTGTGTGGAACCAAGGAGAATCCCAGGGACCTTGTACCACAGGGTAAGGATCTACATAAATTTTTTTAGGTTAATTCTGTTGTTAATTAATCAGATCCAAGAACAGGGGCCAAGAGGGAACATCGTGGGTGTACTTTTTGATTGGCATGGTGATGGCATGGTCTGTACACATAAACATTGCATCTAGTTGATTCTTATAATCTTCTCTCACAATAGAAGTCATAAATGTGCAAATAATTAACGGTTTCCCATAAACCTATAACCTTTTTTTCCTTCCTTTCTATTTTCTTTTCTCCAACCTACTAACAATATATCTATGGCTTGCTGGCATGGAAAATCGTTTGTCTCTAGAATGTCAGAATTTTCTAAACTCTAAGTTAAACACATTCATAATACATATTCTCTAGATCTGCATATACCTCGCTCACAGGAGCTACTCACCTACGATGATCAAATGTTAACTTACCACTTGAATTCGCGCTCCATATGTTGTTCCAATTGGCCCTCGCGTCCCCGCCCCTTGGTGCCGCTGGCTAGCTGCCAAGCATGTCGGCAGCTTGTCACTGGCCTCCAGAAGGCCGCCGGACGACATTCCCCGTGGCCCCGCACAGGCGCGCTATGACACTGGAACAATCCACGCGGGTGCGGCTTGCAGCGTTGGCGTGCTGCGCCCTTGGGCACGGAAGCTCGCGGTCGCAGGTCGCAGCCTCATGCGGCCGCCGACCATGTCCGCCTTGCCTCTGCCCCATGCAGCCGCCGGTCCGTCGCCCGCCGCAGCCTCATGCTAACACACCGACGCGCCATCATTGTTGGAGTTCGTAGCCCAGCAGCCGCCCAGGCGGCCACCTCTATGGATAGGGTTTGCCGATTTGGGGAAAACGGGAGAACAAAAATTTAGGGGAGACAAATAGATGAGAGAATCATAGCTAGCCACAGGAGATGCAGATGCAAGTGGAGAATACAAGGAGAGGAAGTTACATAACTGGTTGTGGTGGTGCCGCCGTCGATGTCGTTGGAGCGCGGCGTTCATGCCCCTGCCGCCCTGCCCTCCCACCCCTGGCTCTGCCGCCATCTCCTCCCCCTGTCGACGAGGGCGCGGGAGGTGGCGGCGCGGCCAGTTGCGAGCGGGCGTGGGAGCCGGGCGGGCGCTGCGGCGACGACGCTGTGAGGGTGACGATGGGGCGCGGTGGATGTGTAGCCGTGCAGATGAATCACGGAACGATCCTTCCTTTTCAAATCATGGGAGCGAGGTTTGAGGCTGAATCACAGCAACGGAAGGAGCGTGGGATCACAGGAGGCAGGACCATGTACCCACGGTGAAATATCGCACGAAGAAGTGTCCACGTTTTGTTTTTTTAGTTGTAGGAGATTCCTGGCAGACGATTGAAAATTCGTTTCGTTCAAGAAAGAAGGAAAAAAAGATTGAAATGAAGATTTCATCTTTGACGCCACGGCCCATACCAAGCTCTTTCACCGTCACTAGCTTAGGGTGAATTTCGGTTCACGGCCGGCCCGCAGTACAATGGGTGTGATTACGTACCCCAACTAACTAGTTGGGCCAGGCCCGGCAATGACTGGCCCGTTTGTCACTGAACCCTTACCTGCCGTGGGAGCGTTTGTTTCCCTAAACTTTAGTTCTCGTCAAGTCGGATATTTGTCATGGAATATTAAATATAGACTAACTACGAAACTAAATGCACAGGTAAAGACTAATTTGCGAGACGAATTTTTTTAAATCTAATTAGTTCATGATTTGACAATGTGATGCTATGGTAAATATATGCTAATGACAGATTAATTAGACCTACTAAATTCGTCGAACGGATTACTGAGCACTCCAGCCTCCTAAACTTTAGCCCCTGCAAACACCCCCGAAATCAAACCGTTGGATCCAAACGGAGCGCTCCCAGATTCGCTCGCTCCGAGTCCGAGCGCACGGACGGGTCGGACACCGCGTACGTGGTTCGCCCGACTGGCCCCGAACTGCCAGTCTCGCTCAGAGCCGGTATCTTTGACCATCCTCCGTCGTCCCTTCCCTCCTCGGAGGACGACGACGTAGTCGATCACGGCCATCCGTTCGAGAGCGGACGGCACAGATGACCAGCACGTCTCCGACCAAATTCGAGACGCTCCGCAGAGTTGGGCCCCAGCCCGCGTCCCACCTATCCCAGGCTGGTCAGTGTGCCCCACGGCGTGAGCGAAGCCGAATGCGACTATGCGAGATCCCCAACTGTCTGTCTCCGACAAAACGAACGGCCCAGATCTCCGCCAGCGCGCCCCGCCTCGCCTTTCCACTCCACATCCCCGTGCGCGGACGCGTGCCATCCCGAGGGACCGGAGCAGCGAACGAATCGACCGGCTCGTGATGCCGTCGCGGCGGCGCCGACGCGGCGACCTCGCCGTCGCGGCTGCGCTGCTGGCGACGGTGGCGCTGGCGGCCGTCGGAGCGGCCGGGGCCGACGGCGGCGCGGAGTTCGATTACCGGAAGCTCTCGGGGATAATCATCCCGGGGTTCGCGTCCACGCAGCTGCGCGCGTGGTCGGTCCTCGATTGCCCCTACTCGCCCTTCGACTTCAACCCCCTCGACTCCGTCTGGCTCGACACCGCCAAGGTTCCAAACCACTGACTGTGCTGCATCACTTCGCCTGCCCATCTAGTGATATGATATTTCTGATTACTGCTCTGCCAATGCTGCTCGTTACTGCTGTCGTTCCAGGATTAGTAGCGTGCCATTTGGCTCTCTTAATCGGTTTGGTTTATCTGTTTGTTCGCTTCGGATAGATGATATGTGCTCTCCTATGCTTTAGGGATCCGCTGTGAGCGGCCTACACAATTGTTAGTCTCCATACTTCTTTTCCCTTTTTTAGTTAAAATCATCTATTAATAGATTTGGGGGACTGGAGCAGTTTTTGTTGGGATAAACTTGTACTGGACCGGAGCATCTTATCTCTGGATGTGAGTGCCATGAAACTGAAAGGGATACCCAACACAGACAACTGACTTTGGAACACCTTTGGTTTGTCGGGTACTCCAGTAGGTGCAAAGCCACCAACTAGTTGAGCAGCTTTGGTCAGTTTTTTCTAGGAACAATTCACTGCTTGACTGTCTGTAATGCCAGTATACCACCATGAATAGCCATATGTTTGCCATCACATGACACTACCTTGTTTGTCCCAAACTGGAAAACATGTGCGGCTTATAGAGGCTAAATTTGCTCCATTTCTATGGTTAAGTATCCAGATCTACTGGTTTTGATACGTCCAGTTTCTTGCAGCTTTTATCCGCGGTAAATTGCTGGCTTAAATGCATGCTGCTTGAACCCTATAATCAGACAGACCATCCGGAATGCAAGTCAAGGCCTGATAGTGGTCTTTCTGCAATTACAGAGTTGGACCCTGGTTATATAACAGGTAAACTTATGGCTTACTCTCTTTTTCTTAGCACTGACCTCGCAAGTTCTAGCCATGAGTTACATATCTGTTACATGATAATTTGTAGCTTATATCATAAGTCAGGTTACTCAATGTTGAGTGAAAAGAAGTTCATTCTAGACAACATTTTTGCAAGTTTTGACCTGAAGTGGCTGAAATGATAACAAAAAAATGTGGTTTTTACACGAGATCATCAGACTAATGCCATAGGTGGTACAACAAAGTATTATCAGGAAAGAATCATGTTTGTTCTTTGTTCATGTGCGAGCTGAAGAATGTGGAATTTGTGCAAGTATGGTTATCTGTAGCTCATTCACATGTTTCTTTCTTTCAAAATAATTTATGTTCATCAATTTGCAAATGGCAACTCCCCATATTTGCTTTGACATTGGCATTGTGTTTTACACTTCAGGAATAGTCCTGTTAGACAGGGTGCATTCAATACTCATGTTTGTTAGTGCATTTTAAAGCTACCCATCTCATTCATTCATGAAGAGAAAGGGAAGGGAAAAACACCTTACACTGATATCATTTTATTGGGCAAGGTTTCAGGTCCTCTCTCTTCAGTATGGAAAGAATGGGTCAAATGGTGTGTAGAGTTTGGCATTGAAGCTAATGCAATTATCGCTGTTCCGTATGATTGGAGACTGCCCCCATCAATGCTTGAGGAGCGAGATCTGTATTTTCACAAATTAAAGTTTGTAACGCTTACCTCAACTTGTTATGAAGCAGCCAAATTCCACACATCTGATAGGGTCTAGATCTCTTGGTGTTTCCAAAGTAGATACCTAGATTACAGTCATTTATATTGTTTTAGTTACCTTGCATTTATTATATCAGCATTGGCATAACTTCTGAACTGAATATGTGATATGATACTGTCGTTGCTGGCCTCGTCAATTTAAAAGTTGGCAATCCAATCTCTGGCATAACTGTTAGTGGTACAAGTAAAACATGGTGTGTTGCATTTCATGCGTTTGCAACCTGTAAATGACCAATTGCTAAATGATATGCTTTGGCCTGTGAATTTTAATTTTGTCGTATCTTGTGGTTAGTTTTATTCAAGCAAATATGATTTTCCAAAACAATGGCAAACAAATCATGCTGAGATGCTGAGCATAGATGTAGGGTGTAAGGGCAATTCATTGTTGCATGAGGAGAGAATGTAGTATGTGATGCTCATACATCCTTGTTGATGCAGGTTAACTTTTGAAATTGCTTTGAAACTCCGAGGAGGGCCATCTTTGGTATTTGCTCATTCGATGGGAAATAATGTGTTTCGCTACTTTTTGGAATGGTTGAAACTGGAAATTGCTCCCAAGCACTATATCCAGTGGCTTGATGAACATATACATGCATACTTTGCAGTTGGTATATCAACTAGAATGAATACTACTTTATTATTACCATATTTATTTTATCTACTTATCCTCAAATTTGTGAGTTTTCTGTGCTTTAGGCGCTCCTCTTCTTGGATCTACTGAAGCAGTTAGAGGTGCTCTTTCTGGAACAACTTTTGGTCTTCCAGTCAGTGAGGTCAGTCATCCTCTATAAATTTTAGTTTCATCTTATTGTAATAATTTGTTAATCTGTCATCATTGAATATTTGAATGCCCTGTTCTGCTATCAGAGTTTTTTTTTTCTGCAACATAGTTAGTATTGACTTTATAGTTTGCACTTGACAATTCTGATGCCTAATGCCCCATAGGTTTATTCTTGACTTTTTGTATACACAACTGTGTAATTATGAAACTTTCAACTTTAAATAGTTCTTTTTACTGGTCCATGCACTAAATATCATGGTAATATTTTATTCTTGTTCTTCTGCACTGCATCTGCAGCTCGTAGTCTTGAAGTATGCTCCTAGATGTTCATGTGAATTATGGTAGTATTTATTGTGTTTCATCCTTCCATTTAATGTTTCGCTGAATATAGTATGTCATTTTATGTTTTATTACTACCATTGAAAAGTCCAATTGTGTCCAAACTTTGAACTGTCACAACTGTCCAAATAGCTTGCCGTAAGTCTTGTTGCATTTATGCATCTTATTGGTCTCTAACATTTTAATTATGTTTTCAGGGCACAGCACGATTGATGTTTAATGCATTTGGTTCTTCTCTATGGCTTATGCCATTCTCAAAACACTGCAAAGCTGATAATATCTACTGGAAGCATTTTTTTGAGGGAAAGGGAGGTTGTCCTCACAGACAACAATGTGATGAAGCCGAATATATTTCAGACTATGCCGGATGGCCCACAGACCTTGTTAATATCGAGGTTCCTTCAGTTCGAGGTTCTTTGCAAAAATCGCTTTCTTTCTTGATGTGACGTTTAAGAATTTCTGTTCCACTAAGCAGAAGAAATGTTTTTCCATTTCCTCTTTTTCATCACAGATATGGGGGCATACCCATCCATCACGGATATAACCGAGAACATAACATCCAGTATGGAGTGTGGAAAGCCAACTGTCCTGTCATTTTCTGCCAGAGAAGTGTCAGATGGTACTTTGTTCAGAACAATAGAGGATTATGACCCTCAGAGCAAGGCACTTGTTTATCAGCTTGAGAAGTAAGTCTACATTTTTGTACTTGCTTGTTTCCTTTTACTACCCTTGTTAATTTGCAAGAAAGTCTTTGCTTGAGGAGGGGAGCCAACTTGGTTGTACCTCAAAAGCAAGGCCAGCATGCTCAGCTTGTCCAGCGAGAATTTTAGCAAGAGAACCGAGCATGTATCCTCCCCCTGTCTTGCTATTCAAGGTTAGGCAACACCAAGAGTTGTCAGGGAGGAGCAGCGATACCACATGTGGCTGAACAGGCCACAGAATGGTATATTTATATAATTCATAAGGGATTAGTCAGTGATTACAAATGATCACAACAGATCACAGGGAATTTGGCCGCCTAGGAAGTAATCCTGAGTAACCATATTCGATGATTGGTGGACAAGGATAGGCAATAAAGTGGATGGAGAGTTTAGAAAAGGGCTGAATTCCCTTGTCATCTTGGGGGCTTGGTCCATTTGGAAACATAGGAACTGCTGCGTTTTTTATGGAATGCTTCCCAACCTTGCTGAAGGACTCCTGCTCACTAGGGAGGAAATTCACCTTTGGGGTATAGCCAGTGCCCATGGTATTTCTTACCTCGTGGCCACTACATCAGGAGTTTCTTAGGTCTTTGGATCGAGGTCTGTGGTTGTTGAAATTAAAGGTGAGTATGTAATCCAAAGGCTTGTGTGTGGGTGTGTTATATGGGCTCTTACCCTTTTTCTTCCGCAGCTCTCTTGCGTGTTTGATAAAAAATCCTAAGTAACCATATATAGCTAGGCGGTTAAGGAAAACAGTCCTAAACACCATATATACAAAATTGCTACAGGCAAGGGATCAAAAGCGCATGCGTCCAATTTGCTCCTACAACGTATTCCCTGCATCTGTTCTTTCAAACAAAATACAAAGTTTAAGGCTTTAGTATGCTTATGATATGATATTTGACATGTATTAACTAGACCATGTATTTTAATCATTAGGTGGTAAGTAAGAGTGACTGAGTCTAAGACCTTGTATTTTGATCTGAGTTGATCTCAGGTATTATCAGGGTGATCCAGTTCTGAACCCTCATACACCCTGGGAGAGACCCCCAATAAAGAACGTATTTTGCATTTACGGTATTGATTCAAAGACTGAGGTATGGTTGGTGATGTTTATTTCATAGTGAACTGTCCCACTTTATGTTGTTTCAAATTAGATTCTTTCTTCATCATGCAGGTAGGATATTACTTTGCACCAAGTGGCAAACCATATCCAGACAACTGGATAATAACTGATATTATTTATGAGTTTGAAGGTTCCCTACTTTCAAGGCAGGTATCGTATAACTTGATTTGAGAAGTCTTTAGTCCTCATTTTAGTCACGTACCCATTCTGTTTCTGTTAATGGTTGACACAATGTGACAAATTTGCTGAGGAGAGTAATTATGTAAGTGCAACCTGTTTCGTGTAGAGTGTCCTAATGGTTCCTCAGTTCTTCTATACATTTATCTTTACTAGTTCCCTCAGTTCTTCTATACATTTACCTTTACTAGTTCTGAAGAGCAAATTGAACATTTTGTCAGACTATTGCTACTTTGAAAAATGGGTTTTTGTTCGCTCACTAGTTGGTACCATGAAATTTCCACATTTTAATTTTATCCAAAGGCAGGGGTGAAAGAGGCAATGGCTGACTCATTATAAAGTGAGAATGTTGTTATTGTTTTCTGTTCCTTTGTTTTCGAAACAGAAGGATGTTGTAGTTTTCATACCGTTTTTCAAGAGCTTTTATTTTCTAGATAGCATCCACAGTTCTTATTTTTGTACTATACAACTTCAAGGCATTGATATTGATCTGCATAAATATTTAGTTATTTACCTCAGGGCACCTTTGTAACATTATTTGTTCTTACCAGATCAGGTAATTCTGTTTCGGGAAAGCCTAACAATTCCAGTGGTGATGGAACAGTATGTATGACCAAATAAAATTCGAGTTTGTATCAAGCTAAACCAGTTTATTTAAGCAAATGAATAGTTATTTCATGGCAGGTATCCTACAACTCCCTCTCATGGTGCAAGAACTGGCTTGGAGCAAAAGTGAACATAACGAGGGCTCCACAGGTATTCTGTTTTATGCTCATTGGTGTGACTCACCATGGTGAACTTGTGGCCTGGCTATATTAGTATATTTGTTTTGGTTAATTGAAATATTATTGACTGTTTCTTGCTGTATATCGCAACACTAAGCCACCCTCCCTAATTATCCTCTTCTACTCTTGAAGGCAGAACATGATGGATCTGATCTGCAAACAGCCATGAATATCGATCACCATCATGGCCAGGACATACTACCAAACATGACAAGGGCTCCGCATGTGAAGTACATAACCTACTATGAGGATGCTGAAAGTCTTCCGGGATGGAGAACAGCAGTTTGGGAGCTTGATAAAGGTGTGAATCTAGATTTTTCTTTTATATCATTTTATATAGCTGTAGCACTTTTACTTATACCTGTCATTCTGCATTGCAAGGCTGCAAGGGAGCCCCTCAGTTTATGCTTTTGCCTTTTAGCGCATAATGCATATCTCTGTTTTACATGCACTCAAGCATATCTTGTTCTTGTGTGTGGTGTTACCTTTATTCGGCGCATAACTTTCTTTTGACATCTATTGAACAGCACTAATATATAAGTTATTTTAACAGCAAATCACAGGAATATTGTTAGGACGCCAGTACTAATGCGTGAGTTATGGCTCGAAATGTGGCACGACATGCATCCCGATTCAAAATCAAAATTCGTGACGAAAGGTGTGCTTCAATTTGAACAGCCCAAAGAGCAATGCCGTTCCCTGGTTTGACTCATGGCTTTTCAAGTGTGCTTCAATTTGAACAGCCCAAAGAGCAATGTCGTTCCCTGGTTTGACGCATGGCTTTTCAAGTTACTAACAGAAGTGTATAAACAGCTTTCCGAGGTCCGCTAAGAAACGAAGACTGCCACTGGGACTATGGAAAGGCTCGATGTGGCTTTCCAGAACACTGTGAATACAGGTCTGCACCCAGTTGCAGTCTTTCCTTTTTCAGTTTCAGCAACAAAGGCCCCTATTTAGTGATTGTAAATCCAGGTATATATTTGGCGATGTTCATCTTGGAATGAGCTGCAGACTGAAAAATACATCCACCAACCTTCTTCAACAGTATCTCTGAAGATCTCTGAAGTATGTTGCATTACTGTTATTCCATTTTCCCTCATTGATGAAAACTGCACCTGACATTTTATTGTCATCCTGCAGATGCCGTGAGCTGAATAATATTGTGGTTGCTCGTATGGGAATGATATTTGATTTCCCATTTTGAGTTGCTGATGAAATTAGTCAGCAAGGTAGATACAGGATCAATTGGAGGCCAGTGAAAACAGGTCAACTCTTACTCTTGCCACCATTTTGGTACACTTAAATCTTTGAAGTAGACATGCAAAGCCGAAACAACACGTTCCCATGACAAATTTTGGTTGAAGATGGAGGTCAAAGTTCCCAGGAGTGTATAGTTTTGCTCATGTTTTCAGCCATGTAGGAGCCATTTGTAGCACTGGTACCTTCGGCGTCCTGAAGGTGCCATGAGATCACACTGATGTATACTGTAGGCATGGGTTTGTAAATCAAGCTGTCACAAATTGACTTATCTTACTAGAAACTAGAAAGCTACTCTATAGATTGGCAGTGTTAAAATTCTTTAGGACTCCCAATTAACCACCTTGATCGTAACTTGTCCTTAAGAAAAATGAATGCCCTCTGCTCAATATTAGTTGCAATTCATTGGCGCAATGAATGAGCGCATTGCCTTTGCTTGTGGATAGGTGGTGGCATGAATACTGTACGTAACGAAGTTTTGTAGATGTACGAGTCTCTCAAATGTTACCTCCGCTGGGCTCAGGGCCCTTTGCAACGTGGGGTTTTTCATGAATCGCCTAGTTTTCATATGAAATTGTGCTGGTTCTTGTAAAATCCATGTATCATTCTTGCCTTCCAAAGGAGTCCTTAAATTGTATCGTAGTAAGTTTGTTCCACGTTGCTGTGGGTTTTGTAAAAAATGGCACCTTTGGTCTGCTGATTTGCAAGTGCAACGCAAAGCCATGGACTCATGGTTATGTGAACACATGGCATGAACTACGTTGTAATTTGGCTTACGCTGATTTATTGTGAGAGAAAAATATTGTTTGTTCGCTGAAAAATACTATTAAAGTAGTGTAGTAAAACAAGGCCGCAAATTGCAAATTTGTTTGGATAAAATCTACAGACGCAACGTGAGATCCATCAGTCCAAAACAAATAGAAATATCATTTCCCGAGGATTCAGATATGTTTAATTATGAAAATTAATCTGGTGATTAATTCTTACGCATCATATTAGTATTTTTATTCAATTTAAAATTGTTTAACTCTTATAAGAAAACAGGATTTCCATTCTTATGACCCAACGAGTGCAGCACAATTCTAGTTTAGGGGCTATTTGGATCCTTGAGCTAAAGTTTAACTCTCGGTACATCGAATGTTTGGATGCTAATGAAAAGGACTAGACATGAGCTAATTATAAAATTAATTACAGAAACTCTAGGCTAATTTGTGAGATGAATCTATTAAACCTAATTAATTCATTATTAGTAAATTTCACTGTAGCACCATATTGTTAAATCATGGACTAATTAGACTTAATAAATTCATCTCACAGATTAGCCTTCATTTATACAATTAGTTTTATAATTAACCAATGTTTAATACTCTCTAATTGGTATCAAACATCCCGTTTGAAGGAGACCATTGAGTCACGTCATGGCGCTCGTAAAGTGAATGTAGCTGTTCAGCTGATGGTTTCTGCGGCTAATAAACCGGCTGAAACTGATTTGTTGTGAGAGAAAAACACTATTCCATGACTGATAAGATAGGCTGACAAGTTCAAGCGAACATAGCACCGAGTCCGGATATTCAACATCAGATATCGTATCCATATCCGAATACTCAAATCGTATATTTATTGATGTCGATATACAATCGTATTCTGTCCGGTATGGTTGACACTATCCGTATTCGAATTCGAATCCGGACAGAAATATAAAAACAAATATAATCGACGTGTTCACTTATGCTGAAATTTAGCTTATGCTATACTGAAATATTATAAGAGAAAAATATTATTCCATAGCTTAAAAAAATAGTGATGAATATTCCATGCGTTTTCATCCGTACTCGTCGCACGCTTGGAATCCAACGCGAAACCTACCCGCCAACCTTCCCCGCTGGCCGCTGCCCCTGCCCGTCCCCATCCGGCCACCCGATCCCTATCAGACGGCCTCCAGAACCCCGCAGTCCGCAGGCCTCCCAAACTCCCTCGCATCGGCCTCGGCCTCGCGAGCTTCCTGGAAAGCGGAAACCCAAGCGGCGAAAGCGAAACGAATCCCCTTCCCTTTCCTTCCTCTCCCCTACCCGGAGACCCCCGCGCGTTCTAATTTGGACCAGACGGCTCCAGAAGCTTCCGCCATTAAACTAACGTAACCGCGTCGCTTTATTTATCGAGCCAACCCCAACCCCAGCCCCCGCTCGTCTCCGTCCAGATCCGCGCGTTTTGGAGGAGTAGCTGCGTGTATTGACCACTCACTCTCCAAGGCAATTTTTTGTCCTTCCTCGTCCGCCCTGCGAATTCGCGACCTCCGTCCAATCCATCTGCACGGAGAATCGGCTAATGGCGGAGGTAAGGCCCCCCCACGCTTTCAATTGCTCGACCATGCATGGATTTATTGAAGAGGAAGGGTAGAGAGATCTGACGCTGCGTTCGTTAATGGCGATGCCGCACGGCAGGAGGGGTACAAGGTGACGCTGAACGTGTACGACCTCAGCAACGGCCTCGCGCGGCAGCTGTCCACCTCCTTCCTCGGCAAGCCCATCGAGGCCATCTGGTAAGCCTGAGCCCCTCCCCTCCCTCCCCTCCCCTCCCTTCCCCTCCCCCGGATCTGAACCACCTCGCGCCTAACCGAACCAAACCAAATCGGACCTGGCAGGCACACGGGCGTGGTGGTGTACAGGAACGAGTACTACTTCGGCGGCGGGATCCAGTCGTCGCCGGCGGGGACGACGCCGTACGGACGGCCGCTGCGGACGGTGGAGCTGGGCGTCACGCACATCCCGCGTGAGGTGTTCGAGGACTACCTCCGCGACATCGCGCCCCGGTACACGGCCGAGACCTACCGCCTGCTCACCCACAACTGCAACAACTTCAGCCACGAGGTGGCGCAATTCCTCGTCGGCACCGGCGCCGGCGTGCCCGACTACATCCTCAACCTCCCCGCCGAGGTCATGTCCAGCCCCATGGGCCCGCTCATCATGCCCATGATCCAGAACCTCGAGTCCACGCTCCGGAGCAACAGCGCGCCGCAGGCTACGCAGTTCGTGCCCACGCCCACCTCCGTCTCCGCCTCCGCGCCGACCGAGGCTCCCGCCTCCAAGCCGACCGTGGCTGCCGCCGCCAAGCGAGAAGCGCCGGCGGAGAAGTCTTCGAAAGAAGCTCCCGCTCCTGCTCCCGCGTCCGCGCCCGTTCCCGCGCCTGCGCCTGCTCCTGCTGCTGACCCACTCGGGAGCGCCAGGGGAAAGGTGCAGGAGGAGGTGATGCGGGAGTTCGCGGCCATCATGGCCAGCGGCACGCTGCGGGCCAGCGAAGCGGCGGCGCTGGCCATGCGCCGGGTCATGCAGCGCCACGGCGACGGCGCCACCATGCAGCAAGGCTAGACGGCGCGTCATGGACAGCTTCTGCTATCGCCGTATGGAAATTGGACGAGTTACTGTTATGTTCGTGCGATTGTTTGGGTTGTTAATTGCGACCGAACTTATTGCCCATCGTATTGTATGGGTGATTAATTTAGGATATATGCTAATTTACGTTCGCTAAGATCCTGCTTCCAATCGCTTGAGAACTCATGATACCTGTAATTTCTGGTGCTTGTTCCAGACACTGTTAAATTTAGTGTTACGATGACTGTTACTCCTGCAAGCTCGCAATTTAGGCCAAGGGTTCTCGGATCGGTTCCTCCTCGGATATCGATGAAATTTGGTTATCGATGAAATTCGGTTTCTGTAAAATGAGAACTGATCGGTTCTCTCGGTTATTGATGAAATTAGGTTTATAAAAAATGGGAATTGATCGGTTCAAAAAAAAAAAGGAACCGAACATTTCGTTTCTTGGTTATTTTGATTCGTTTTTAGTTCTACCTGAACTAACCGAAGTTTTTCAGCAAAGTTTAATACAACAACAAAAATATATGCAGGTTTTAAAGTAAATTTAGGTAACACTGCCCTCTAATTTAAATAATAATAATTGATAAAGAAACAGTAGCAAAATAATATTTCCTCCGTCCACGAAAGAATATAATTCTCTTGTCACGAGAAGTCAAACAAATTAAACTTTGACTAAAATTATATAAAAAAGTAATAACACTCATGAAACAAAATAAGTATCATTAGATTAGTTATAGAATATATTTTCATAATAAATTTATTTAAAGATATAAATGATAATATTATTTTCTATAAGCTTAGATCAAATTTGAGCTAGTTTGATCGGCACGCTTTCCATAATTACGTTCTTTTTTGGACGGAGAAACTAACACAAATACATAGTAATTCAGTATGAGAAATCACAAAAAATCAAACATGGTCTTACAAAATACAAGTAAGTGAATTACAATTCATTAATTTCGGTTATTCGGTTAATTCGGTTACTCGAGAGTAGAAACTGAAATTTTCTCGGTTATTTTAGTTCCTCAAAATTTGGAATCGAATAAGGAATCGATTTTTTCGGTTCCGGTTCTTTTGGTTTCAGTTTCGGTTTTGATTCTTTCGGTTCAGTTTTTTTTTTATTTCGGTTAATTATGCCCACCCTGAAGTGTCACGATGACGGTTACTCTTGCAAGCTCGCACGCACATTGTAACTGACGGTGGGGATGAGCGCTACTCCAAACTAAGAAAGTTTAACTTAGGGTACTGGTATGTTTGGTTGAAGAGCATGGTAAGCATGGAATGATTTCAGTCCTGATCTAAGGACATGATAGTCTATGGCCCTGTTTGGTTTGTTGAAACATGGCTGAATTGACTGAAAAACACTGTTCCGACTGAATTATTATGAGAGAAAAACACTGTTCCGACTGAAAAAAAAATAAGTTGAATAGTGCGGATTATAAGGTAAGCCGAACGGGACCTATTTAGTATTTGGTGAGAAGGACGGAGCAGTTTTGTTCTTGCACTTGGTTTGATGAATGGAATGGATAAGGTGCCAGATTAGCTAACCACGATAACCGTGGAGCCCACATGCCAT